CAGCGCTCTTGGGGGCTGGAAAGTGAGATCCTCCCAGCTGCTGCCTTACACCCCATTCCCTTTTTCGGGAAGTGGATAGGATCTGGTTTGCCTCCAGATAGAACTGTTTGGTGGGGAGCAGCAGGTGGAGCCTCCAGGTTGTTCTGTTGTTTATTTTCCTTACTGGGAGCTGGCAGAGCTTGGTGAGGTGGGAACAGCCCCGCGCAGGCCCTATGTCCCTGCTGCCCTTGATCCAGCCCGTGTCCCTGGATCCAGCCCTGTCCCACCCAACCGTCGGCTCCAGCGGGAGCTGACGCAGCGGAAGCAGCAGCACTGGGAAGTTTTCCTGTTGGATCCTTTGTCCATTTGCCTTGGCAGAGCCCAGCGGAGTCTGGGGAGCTGAGACTAGCCCAGGAGGCCAAACCCTTGGACTCCCTGCTAGTCTTCTTCAAAATCCCTGAGGATAAGCTGTTATTCCCAGCTGAGGCTGCTCCCTCTGCCCCGCTCCTGCCCAGCCTTTTTCCAGGTGCTGCAGGGCAGCTCTGCCTCTACTCCCCCTCAATTCAGATTTCTAGGAAACCTCTGATTTCAAAGATATTCCTTCCTATATCCCTGTGCATGGGGTTGATTCCCATTATCCCAGCCCCTTGCAACCATGCTGCCGATGTTCACCTGTAGCAACAAACCCAAAAAAGCCGGGATTTCACTCCAAAGTCCCAACTTCCCCCAGGAGAAGGTGTAACCTTTCCTACCTGCACCCCCAGCAGCAGCCAGTGGGTTTATTTTGGGCCTGGCTCCTTGTTCCCGCTGCTGCTTTTCCTTTCCCTGCTAATCCCTTTCCTTCCTGTGATTTGTTTTTATGGCACTGTGGGGCTGGACTCCTCGGGGAACACAACAATGGCTGCAGAGCCCTGAATTGTACAGCAACACGTAGGAAAACAGGAATAAAAGCCCCAAATTCCAAGCAGGCAACCCTGCTTCCTTCCATCCTTTACCTCCCGCTGTGGGGGGTGTCCTCCACCTTTCCCACCTCCAGACAAAGCTTCCGGGGCTTCCATGCTTTTTCCTGGCAGCAACAGCAGTGCTTGCTCAAACATTTCCACAGGTTTCTGGATCCTTTATCCATATAAATGCTTCCCAGGAGGTTTATGTGTTTCCATCTTGGTTAGGGACCAAACAAGAATCCGGACAGAGCAAATTTTCCAAGCTGGGAATTCTGTCATGCACAGCCGGGGTTTCCAACCCTTTCTATGTAATGCTGTTCCCAAATTGGACCACATAAACCCTAATTTCCTGGTCCTCTTTTACCCTAGATCTCACCTTAAATGTGAGGATTGTGGGGGTTCAGTTAGAGGCGTGTTTTTCAGTTCTCCTAGGAAAACACTTGTCCCTTGCTGCTTTGGGGAGGCCTGGCTGAAATGGGATCCTGGTTTATTCCTGAAGGGAATGGTTTTCCTCACCTCCAGGGCCTCACCACCGGCTGGGTTTTAGATGTCATCACCTCCATCGGCGCTGGGTTCCCAGCCTTTGGATGGATTCCTCCCATCCCAGGGGAGGAGAAGGAGCAGATGGGATGAGGATTCCATAGCAGGCTGATGATAGAGCGAAAACAGGGCTCGGATACACTTTTCCATCATTCCCTGCAGCCTTATCCATGTATCCTCTCCCTCCACAACCTGGCTGGCTTCACCTAAAGCCACGTTCCCCATCCAAGATGAGGTGCTGAGGTTTTGGGGCCACTCCAAGGAGCTCCAGCCCTCGGTGTGGGGATCCTGAGGGGTGGGAGTTTGCTCCCCTTTGGCTTCAGCCATGCAAGGGCTTCCTGAGTCTGGGAAGGGGGTGAAAGTGTTCCCAAACAGCCATTTCCCTACAGGAATTCCTCTGGAAGTACAACCCAGGCTTGGCTTCTTCCAAAGAAAAATCTTGTTATTTTTGAGTCCTTATTTGTATGTGAGCCTTTCTGCTCTGGAGCCGGGCAGGGAGGGAAGGAGGGAGAGGGGGTTAGTGCCAGGAGAACATTGCTCTGAGGGCACGTGGCTTTGCTATGGGAGCCTCCAGCTGGGAAGGGAAGGTGAGGCTGTGATTCCCCACTGGAACCCAAGCCAGCAGCCCTCATGCCAGCTCCCCTGCTGCTGGATTGCTCAGGGAGAGGGCAGCCCATGGGGGCGGGGTAGAGGTGTGGTGGGATGGATGGGATCCTGCTGCCTTCATCCCAGCTGCCGCCCACCAATCCCTGCTCCTGGCCAGCTTCCTCCTGCGTGCTGCAGCTGACCTGGGAGGCGAGCAGGAAGGGAAAAGGGCAAAGATGGGCACCCATCCGCCCTGCCAGGAGGGACTGGCCAGCACAGCCCTTTCCTCTGCTGTATTTCCAGGGAGCCGCTTGCTTCCATGTGGGAGCAGGAGGCTGCTAGAAAGCAGATCCCCAACAGCCTTCATCCCCTCCCAGAAAAGCAGACCCCCCCACCCCAGTGGAGCTCCTGGGGTTAACAAGGGTGTCGCAAAGCCAGGAATTCAAACTTCTGGGGCTATGACACTGTAACCTCTGGAAATTTGGAAGGACATGGTTTGTTTAGGCCAGAAAAGCCACAATGACACCAGAGCAGGCTCCGAGTGCGTAAGAGGTGTTTACAGGAATAATCCCTTCCTCCTTCCAGATGGATCCCATCAGCCTTACTTTTCTCCCCCTCCCCACCCCAGCAGGCACAGGAGGTTTGGGCAGCTCCTGGAGCCATCCATCCCTTTGTCCCAGGGACATGGAGGCTCCTGAAGGACATGGATGGAGGTGCCGACCTTGCAGAGGGAGCTGATGTCCAAAAAGGAATGTGGGAGTGGGGGGAGACCTTCCCACCCCATCCAAGTCTCCCATGGGATAGGGACGAAGGGAAAAGCTCCTTCCTGGCACATGGGCATGGTCTCACTGGTCTGACTGGAGCAGGGATCAAGGTCTTATCTGAACCCTTATCCAAGGCACAATAGCGGAGTGATGGAAACCATGCATGGAAAACAGAGCCTTGCCCGGCAATCCCAGCAGAAAAGCAGGATGCTTCACTCCAGGGGCTGATGAAAGCTGTCAGAGGTTTGTGTGCAGAACAAACCAGGACCCAAAAAAACCCCAAGGAACAAATGGAAACCCCCCTTGGCTGACAGGATCAGTGGTGACACGCAGGTGGCAATCCTGAGCTGGGATCCAGGGCGGAAGAAGGGCCAAATCTGGGAAAGGATGGGCCATGCATGAGGCTGCCAGCTGCCAGGGAGCTGATCCCTGTCGGAAAAGTGACGGAACAGGAGCCCAGCTCCCAGTTCTGAAGTAGCCAGGCCACATGTCCTCAGCTTGTCACAACTTTGGTGGCCCCTCCATGAGGCAATTGCAGGTTTTGGGATGAGGAAGAGAAATTTTGGGAAGTTTGGGATAAGGAGGAGAAAGTTTGGGGTTACAAATTGGGGGTTTGGGAATGAGGAAGAGAAATTGTGGAGTTACAGTGTGCTGGGAGTGGGTGCTGCCACCACAACCCCTCTGCTATTGATCACCACATCCCTGTGGGACACCAGTGCTGGTGGAAGGGATGGGGGTGGAAGGTTTGGATGCATTGCCCATGGATAGGGATTGAGGTGAGGCTGTTCCCTGGGGTCGTGAAGGTTTGGGGGTTTCCCCCTGCCAGGTGCTGCCCCAATCTCCCTGTGGGAACTCCAGATAAGCAGTGGAGTCGGCTCCTGGAGCACTCTCCTGCTGCAACCGACACACACAGGGGGCCCCGGAGCAGGAAAGAGGCTTTTCCAGAGCTGCTCCAAGCGGAGACTTCCTCATCTGTCCAAAAGATGATGCACTTCTGAAGCAAAAAGCAAAACAAAACCTGCTGTTCCAGACCTCCCTGGTTTCTCCAGCCTGGGTCTGTCCTGGGTGCCAGCCTGGCTGTCCAACTGCTCCATCACAGCCAGAGCAGGGAGCTGCAGCCCAGGGTGGGGGAACTGGGAATGAGAATCCCTCCAGCTCTTGGGGACCACAGTGCAACACATGCAGGCAGCAGAGATGCCCAAAACCTGAAGCAGAGCCAGGAACGAGGCCGTTTCTCTCGGCTGGAAGGGATTTTATCCCTCCACGAGGAGCAAACCCACTGTGTGTGACCTCCAGCATCCGTGGATACCCATGGCAGGGACAGGCAGTGCTTGTCCCTCAGCACAGCTCCTGCCAAGGGCGATGATGCTCACGTGCCTCAGCACTGTTGTTTTGGATTCTCCAGCCTCTCAGAGCCTCCAGAGGGTGGGGAACACGTCAGTCCCTGTCCCCGGAGCCTGGGGAGGCGGGGGCTAATTCAGGGATGGCCGTGGGCCAGGGTGATGAGATGAGGGCCTGGGGCACCTCCTCCTCCATCCCTGCTAGAGGACAATCCCCAGGGTCATCTCCCCATCCCTTCTGTCCCACATCTCTTTTCCCATCTTCCCCCATCCCACCCCTTCTTGCTCTTTCTCAGAAAAGAAAGAGCTGGAAGTTAATCCACGAAAGCTCGTCTCTCCTGCACTGTCCCCTCTTACAGTGTCCCCAGCCAGCTCTTGGCTCGTCCCCAGTCCTTCCTGTCCTTGGAGAGGTGGAGATGAGCAGGAGAGCTCAAAATCTCCCTCTGGGTGAAAGAATTTATTGATACAAACAAAGTTTAAACAGTCAAAGAGGAGCTTTTAGCTGGGATTTGGACTGTGAAAAAGGAAAACTGTCCCTCACAGCTGTCTGTGCTTGGCCTTGGAATGAAAAATAGTGGGCAAATGACTTAGTTGAGTCAAACCAAAGCTGGACAAAGGTTGAAATTAGCTCAGGAGCTGCAAACCCCTCCAGCAAACACCAACAGCTTCTTTCCAGAGGCCTGGAAAACTCAGTGCACGGCTCAGAGTCAGACACTGGGACTGGCACCAGCAGCCACAGCCTGTGAGGGACCCATGATGGATCCACAGCCCGTGATGGACCTGTGATGGTGCTGGTGATGGACCCACAACCCACTGGTGCTGGTGGGGGGAATGAGAGCAGCCAAAGCTGTGGTGGGATCTGATGGGTGCTTTTATTACACAAGGTATGACATTCTCCCTCCATCCCCTCTGGAACAGGGATAGATGAGGGTTTAACTCCACCCTTTTAACCGTTCCTTGGCTGTTTCTCTTGCTGTTTTCCCCACCATCCCCCTTTTCTCAGTTTTTCCATCTGTGCCAAGTGTGTTTCTGTGGAGTTTCAATACATTGTGCCAGCCCAGCATGGGGACCATCCCTGGGCTGCTGGGGAGGTCAGTCCAGCTGGGACAGGTTAGGGAAGCCACTGGTGTCCCTTGGGAGCAAAGCCTGTGGCACTGGGGACGTGCATCCCTTATGGGGGAGTAGCTTGGTCAACGGATTCACAGAGTGATGATGGTCTCTCTGGTGAGATGATGGATCCATACCCTGCCTCCCCAGAGTGATGATTAGTCCGTCCCCTGCCTCCACAGGGAGATGATGGATCCATAGGGAGATGATGGGTCCATCCTCTGCCTCCAGAGATGATGGATCCACAGGGAGATTATGGGACCACCCCCTGTGTCCATGGGGTGACGCAGGACAGCTCCATCTCCATTAGCAGCTCCCTCCCGTGCACCAGAAGATCCCCACAGCCATGCCCAGCAAGCAGAGGGTCCCCAGGATCAGCCCCAGCACCAGCGGAGCGCGTGACCGCCTGCTGAGTTTTCCTGCAAGAGCCGAGAAGGATGGAGGTGACGACCAGGGTCACCCCACCACGTCCCCAGCCCCAGCCCCAGCACGGACCTGTCCCAGCGCTCTGAGCCTGCAGGATGCTGACACAGGTGGTGTTGAGGAAGTGCTGGAGGTCATGGGTGGTTATGGGGTATTTCATCAGCTCTGTCTCGGCAAAGGCAGCCACCTGGTGCTGGCCGGGCCAGCGCCGCTGCCATGTGGCGTTGGGGACATGGAAGCTCAGGAAGGCCGTCCCGTTGAGGGTTACCTCGTAGAAGCTGTGGGATGTGCCGTTGGGGAAGAGGTGGCAGCCGAGGTGGCAGCAGAGCCTCTGGGTATCTATAGGGACAGAGAGACAGACGGGGTCACCAGGCCCCACCCAAACCATGCCCTGTGCTCGCACGGCCTCAGCCCTGCAACAGCCACCCACCCACAGCTTTGCTCCCCCTCGGTGACTTCTCCAGAAGCTGGGATTATTTTCCCTCCCTTATCTCCCAACAGCACAGCTCCGGCTTTACGAAGACAGGAATGTTTCGGTGCATTCATTGCTCTCTGGGATGGATGCACCCAGGGAGCAGGGGGACACCAGAGCATGGGGGTGTCACACCAGAGACCCCGCAGGGACACAGGGCTCCCCAAGGGGCAGATGCAGAAATGTGGAGCTGGGGAGCAACAGATTTGGGGGTAAGGAAGAAAAGGAAGGTGAAGCACAGCCTGGGCAGGAGCAGCAAAATGGGCTCGTGGAGAGGTGCAGGAGCACGAAACTATCACCAGCAGCATCCCATGGCTCCCGGAAAGCTGTGGGATGCTGGCAGGGAGCAGGGAGGGAGTAGGCAGAAAGCAAGCAGGATGCAGGCAGGGTGCAGGTGGGTTGCAGCTGGGATGCAGGCAGTGTGCCTGCACCTCACCGTCTCCCCCAGCTGCAGTCCCAGCCCTTTTCCTGAGGAGCAGCAGCAGGTTGAGCATCACCCCATTCCCCGGGCAGGCTCTGGATAAGAAATTCCCGGCTCCACAGAAAGTCTCCCTTTGCCCACAGAGAGGTTTTGGACATGGCCGTGCCTCCACCCCTCTGCCCACCTGTCCCTGCAGCGCGGGTGGGTGGTTCCCCTGCCCCAGTGCCCCCCGGGCACCACTCACAGTCCATGGGTCTCTCCTTGTTGAACAGCTTCACCAGGTTGCTGAAGTAGCTGAGGTAGGTGCGCACGTCCTTCTGACGCCATGCCCAGGCGTCCGGAGGCTCCAGCGGCAGCACCTGGGTGACATTGTGCCCCTCCAGCACGTGGCTGAGCCGCCCGTTCAGGCTAGCGTTTCCCCAGAAGAGAGAATTGCCTTCGAAGACGCGGGTGTAGTGCACCATGGTGAAGGTGAGCGGGGCTGCGGGAGACGTGGGACATCACCTACCACCCCGTCAGCCCCGCGAGCCCCGTGTCCATCCCCCCCTCGCCAGCCCCGTGTCCCCCCCACGCCAAGCTCGAGCTCTCCGGTCCCCGTGTCCCTGCCTTACCCGCCTGCTCTGCCCCGCAGCCCAGGGCCCCCCAGAGCAGCAGCAGCCGCAGCATCGCGGGGACGGGCACGGGGATGGAGACGGGACGGTGGCCCCGGGGTTGGCCCGGCCGGGAGTTCGGCGTGGGGGCAGCGGTGGGCACGGAATGGTGGCCCCAGGCTGGCCCATGGGATGTTAAGCCGGCCGGGGAGGTGGGGCTGTGGGAGGAGGAGAGCGGGACTCTAGCCAGGTCTCTCCCATTTCCTCACCCGAGCCACCCGCACCCCTTCCCTGCCGGACATGCCGGGCCCTGCAGCGCCTCGGGATGCGGGATGAGGCTCCAAGATCACCTCGGGACAGAGGGAACTGGGCGAGCAGCCAGCGCCTTCCTCAGTTTCCCCATCCCTTGTCTCGACAGGGTCCATCCCACTCCCCTGGGAGACCAGTGAGGACACAGTGATGGGGACCATTCCCAGGGAATGGGGGAGGGATGGAGGGAGCAGCCTCACAGCATCAGGCTGCACCCACCAGGCCTGGACTGGGCATCCAACAGCAGGATCCCCATCCGTGGAAGGGGGTGACACTCGAGGGACCTAAGCTGAGGGGTGGGAAGAGAAATCCCTGGCAGGGCTTGTTCCATTCGTTTCTTTTCTAATTACACCTAAACCAGCTATTGATTAAAATTCCTAAAATATGAAATGTATACTAAAAACTCCAACTCATCCCACTGGCAGAGTAGGGCACAGCCTGGGGCAGCAAGGAACAGCATCACATAGTCTGCTACAGCATGGCATGCAGTGATGGAACCAGGGATTGGTTTGGGTTGGAAGGGACCTTGAGAATCATCTCACTCCACCCCCTGCCATGGGCAGGGACACCTTTCACTGTACCTGGTTGCTCCAAGCCCTGTCCAACCTGGCCATGAACTCTTCCAGGGATGGGGCAGCCACAGCTTCTCTGGGCAACCTGTGCCAGGGCCTCCCCACCCTCACAGCCAAGGATTCCTTCCCGATATCCCATCTATCCCTGCCCTCTGGCAGTGGGAAACCATTCTTCCTTGTCCTCTCACTCCATGCCTTCGGAAATAGTCTCTCTCCATCTTTCTTGTAGCTCCTTCAGGCCCTGCAAGGCTACAATCAGGTCAACTCAAAACTTCTCCCAGCTGATCAACCCCAACTCTCCAGCCTTTCCTCCCAGCAGAGCTGCTCCATCCCTCTGATCTTCTTGGGACCTCCTCTGGACTCTCTCCAGCAGCTCCATGTCCTTGCTGTGCCGTTCCCCAGGGCTGGAGGCAGCTCTGCAGGGGGGTCTCCCCTGAGGGGGCAGAGGGGCACAATCCCCCCCTGCC